GGACAGTAACCCTCTCAATCACGACCGGCTCCTTGGGCCGATTCTTCCGATCCACCTCGACCGCCTCAATCTTGCCCAGCGTGACGGTGCTATCGTCCCCGATGATCCGCCCAAAGACGGTGTTGAGCCCGTCCAGGTGCGGCGCCTTGTCAAACAGGACAAAAAACTGCGAGCCGTTCGTGCCGGGCCCCTTATTGGCCATGGACACGACGCCGCGCGCGCCGTGCTTGAGGGCCGGCCGGATCTCGTCCTCGAAGACGCCGCCCCAGATGGAGCGGCCGCCCTTTGGGTTGTCCGGGGGCGACGGGTGCGCCGGCCCGCCGGTCTGGGCCATGAATTTTGGGATGAGGCGGTGGAAGGGGGAGGCGTCGTAGTAGTGTGATGCGCAGAGGGCGAGGAAGTTCTGTGAGAGGGGGTTGGTCAGTCGTCCGTTGGGTAGAGTGTCGCGCGATACGATTGAGGGTGGTGGGTGAACGGCCGCGGGTGGGATTCGAAGGGAAAGTCTTGGGATGATTGGGAAGGGGTCCTTTTTACCTCTGCTGTTTTTGGTACGCTCTCGCAGAAGACTTCGATCTTCAGGTCGCCGAGATTCGTATGTAATGTGACGGACATGTTGGAGATTTGTCTGGTGGTCTCGATCGCGAAGTCGAATTGTTGTGTGGTCGTCTGGTGTTGTTGACGGCGCAAAGCTGGCTCCCAGCTGGATACATGCTGGATGTATGCGACTGCATGTTTAAAGTTATGTGGTGGACCACTTCATTGGGCCCCCCGGCATCGGTGCATTGAGCTCCGGGTGCCGACTCAAGCTGCTGCCGCCGACCAAGGTACTTACCAGTAGGTGCGCGCATGAAAGCCGCCCCCCACTTAACGAGTGACAGTCAACTCATACCTCTGTTGCGAACGCTTTGATTTCAACTTCAGTTGATACAAGGTTGTTTGCCTCGACGAGACTTTCCTGTCTTGTACCAACCTTGAGAACACGAAATCAAGTACAGCATTTGAGATAATGGCGAAATATATCCAAGAATGTTGAGTTCAGCTTGACAGTGAGCAACATGATTGCTAGATAGTTTCGAGAGCTTCTGGCATACCTACTTACTTGATATGTTGAACACCTATACACTGCTCAGCGACAGTCACCCCGTCAATGTCTTCCTCGCTCTAACTGTACGATGATTAGATCAATTTGTTTCAATGACGTCAAATGCATAGAAACAATCCCGGCCCAGGCCAAGTACTGGCCAGGGTCGCCGGGGGGAGGGATGCACACGGCCCCATACGGGTAGGTGGACCAGTCCGCGGGACCGGACGGGACGAAAAATGAGTGGGAACTCGAGCCGGGAACGCGCCGCCCGGAAGTCTGGGAGGATGCTCGAACCAATTGACCGCTATAGGAAGTGCATTGTTCATTACCTTGGGTCCAGCCCCTACCGCTCAGCCATGCCACACCTCTCCGACTTACCACATTTGCGCAACTCAGTTTGCAAAGTTTCACGCTGAACGTATCCGGGCAAGTAGAGGAGGGGGGGCCGTGTGCCTCCCCCCGGAGGACAGCGAAACGAGTTCCCAACGGCTCCCACAACTTCACGTCTTCTCGACAAGGAGGCGAAAATCAGTGCGTTTGTGTCGGCAGCCCGCGGCCATCTACAATCTTTGGACTATCAAGAAAGAAGAAATCTTGCATTATTCGTTGCTTAGGACGATGACGGTCATCTCGACAATTCAGAAAGTTGAAACTTGACGGACCACCGACTCGAATTCGTTACTGTTCACTCTCATTATTTTCATATAGAGGATCGACCTGTCGTTGAATTCCTAGCAAACGAGTCTTGTTCCAGGTTCACACCAATCGAACCCTGGATCCGAACTCCACAACATGACCTTCAACGAGATCGTTCGAGACACCTGGGCATGGCACGTCATACGAGCCGTCACCAGGGCCAGGCATCCGGCGTTCCAATACTTTGACGAGAGACACCCCTTGATCCGTCAGAGATACACGGAAAATGGCTATGATCGGTCAGGCTCGGGGTGAGTTACAAGTTCACATGTAAGAGCAAAGGCGGTATACTAACACGCGGTCTATCTCGAACTGAAGACTCTCATACGCTTCAAGACACACCGAAGTTCGAGCATTTTCACTAGACTCTGAGAAGTCAGATAGCGAGATCCCGGGCAATCAAACAATCAGCCGTACGACGTGGGAAAAGTATGGCATCGAGAATAGAAGAGGTCTCCATCTCGTCGAGTTCTTGCCAAATGACCCAGAGGTAACAAAGATCGCAATCCCCTTTTTCACTCTCACCTTTTGGACATCGTAGCTAAGGGTCCAATACCACAGAACCCGAGAAACTGGTCCGTCATGAAGAAAGCCATCGTCAGCTTCCACATCTGCCTCCTCGTCATCGCCGTCTACGCAGGCGCATCAATCTACACCGTCGGCACCCACGGCGTCCGCCAGCAATTCGGCGTCTCGGAGGTCGTCGCCCTCCTAGGACTTACAGTCTTTGTCCTGGGCTACGGTCTTGGACCGGTGAGTCTATACTCGATTACCCCTTATTCTCATCTACCTTACCTATACTGACAAGAACGCAAAGATGGTCTGGAGCCCCCTCTCCGAGATTCCCCAGATCGGCCGCAATCAAATCTACATACCCGCCCTCACAATCTTCGGCCTCGCCCAGATCCCCATCGCCCTCGCCACTTCCATCGGCATGCTCCTCGGCTTCCGCTTCCTCGCGGGCTTCTTCGGCTCCCCCGTCCTCGGCTCCGCCGCCGGCATCCTGGAAGACATGTTCGTCTCCCGCAAACACACCTACGCCATGGCTTCTTTTTGTCTCATCGGAATCTCCGGTCCCACTCTCGGGCCCATCGTCGGCGGCTTCGCCGTCGAGCTCAAGGGCTGGACCTGGTCCGCTTGGATCGTGTCTTGGTTAGCCGCCTGGATTCTCGTCGTGCTCATCTTCTTCTTGCCAGAGACGAGCGCCGATAACATCTTGTATCGACGGGCCATGCGTTTGCGGAAAGTGACGGGCGACCCGGGTTTCGTCTGCGAGGCGCAGCTGCGCGCGGATTACACCGCCGGCACGGAAGTCTTTAAAGCACACCTCGTCCGGCCCTTCACCTTGGTCCTCACCGAGCCGGCCGTCTTCTTTCTGAACATGTATAGTGCCTTCGCCTACGGGCTGATGTACATCTGGTTCGAGGCCCTGCCGTCAGCCTACGGGGAAGTATATCACTTTGGCACGGGCAAACAGGGCATCGCGCTGCTAGGTCTCATCGTCGGCGTCCTGCTCACCATCCCGCCGTTCTTCCTGTACTACCGCAAACGCATCGAGCCGCAGTTTGATCGCGACGGCAACATCGAGCCGGAGAAGCACCTCCACCCAGCCATGGTCGGCTGCCTCTTCATCCCGGCCAGCCTAGTCTGGTTCGGGTGGACGGCGCGGCCTGAGATAAGTTACCTGGTTCCCATTGTCGGGTCGTCGCTGTTTACGGCCGGTGGGTTGCTGCTGTACATTTCGATTCTGAATTACCTCGCCGAGTCGTACCCGGATCACGTCAGTTCCGTCTTGGCTGGGAATGAGCTGTTCAATGCCGTGTGCGGGGCTACGTTCCCGCTGTTCATCCCGCCCATGTATTACCGGTTCGACGTGCTCGGGTCGAGTATGATTTTGGCCATTTTCGCTGTTGCGTTTGTGCCTTTGCCGTATATCTTGTACATGGTAAGGATGAACCCCTTTCTCTACAATACCTTCCCTGCGTATATACTATGAACGCTTTCGACTAACAGCTATTGCAGAGGGGAGCCAAGCTTAGAAAACAGAGCAGCTACGCAAGAAAAGGAATGTGAGATACTGGTCAGATAGGCATAAGGGTGTTTGCTTGGGTTTGCTGATGTATGTACCTACTTGGAGCACATAAAGCGTGGATTAGATGTCAGTTGTTCATTTCGTCTTGAACTGGCTTACACCTGCTTCCCTTTGGAACCTCAAATTCCTTTCTGTAAAAAATTTTCTTTAACGTGTCATGGACGTATTCACTTTGTTGATGTCACGGTGCAGGATGTAACATGGAATAAAATGGCCAGGGGAAAGGGGGGGGGGGGGGTACTTGGTGGTGGTGGTGGTGGTGTAAGGCAAACTGACGGGGACTGCTATAAAAGCACCCAAGCCTAGCCCGAAGATGATAATGCCGCCAGCAACGACTGCGCCGCAACGTTTCCTCGGTCTCAGTAGGGTCCATCGCTATCGATCTATCGAGTTCCGCTCGGGATAGACTTTCGAGATGATCCTGTGTAGCTGGATCTCGAGAGAGCTGAGGTTGACGGTCATGGTGCTTGCGTCTCGCCATGTGCTCAACGGACTTCAAGGCTGTCTCGATAATTGAACGCTGCCAGTCTAGGCGTTCTTGATCAACTCTGAGATCGAAAGTTCTTTCAATGCCGCGGACACGAAAAAAGTGACGCTCTTCCTCTTGGGGAAAGGTAAAGATCTCTACCCTCGGTAGTCCAGTGGCCCGCCGGTGGCAGTTTCTTTCCTCCAGAATGCGACTTGACCTTCTGCGCGAATAAACTGATGTCTTCCTGCTGAAACTTGACGGGACTGCACTGTCCGAGACCTTTCAAGGACACATTTCACAGCCATGTACACCAACAAGTGCCTGTAAACCACTCAAGTGCCCCGAATATTAACTGGGCGTGGATCATAAGTTTCCATTACCAGCGGGCTGAGGTCGGTAAGGTTAATCTTTGCTCGTCTCATTTTTTCAACGTTGGTGCTCAGGGCGCTTGATCCAACATTCCTGAGCCTGAGAGAGAGTTGAAACGCCGGCCAACTGCTTGCAACTTGTTCCAGACCCCAGTAATGGCTGCTGGTTGGAGGTGGAATCTTGCTTTGGGGACCATTTCGCTTCAACCATTTCGCTTCAACCATTGCTCGTGATCCAAAATCAATTCACTGGTGAATCAGGTCAGCACCAGTCCAGATCACTAGAAACATTCAGTCAAAAGTAACTTCCGTATACAAATGCAGCATGCTGTATTCTATTTTAGACTTGAGTTCCGTCTCGAAGTCAATGGAGACGGACGATGGTCTCAATTGAGGCAAAACGGATGTTAAGCTGACGGGATGTTCTTTGCCTTTCATTCGGAAGATTGCGGAGCTAGCTGATCGGCGCAGGATAGCAACTGAGCTGAAATGATGGAACCCAGCCTCCCAGCTCTGCTTCTCGGTCGAGTTGTGAATCAAAGCCTTCACTATCTCGGGCTTCGAAGCGAGACTTCGCAGAGTCCGGTGAGTGTTCTCATCTTGACAGAAGGACTTGACGGTATTTGCGAACTGTCCATAACCCTTCTTCTCCAACTCGAGAAGGAAGTCTCGCTCCTCTTGGTCGAGGATTTGGTGCCGGCAAGTCCAAATGATTTCGGCAAGTGCCAGATAATCCTAAATGAATTACTGATTAGACAGTGTGCTGGAGTGAAACATGGCGGAGATTGGAGACATACACCTTGGGGTCATTTAGACAAGGCGTGGTGGTGAGTAGAACTCTGCTCGCTGCGATCAGAGACACGGCCTTGAACGATACCGTTGATCGCTCCTTGAGACGATGAGCCTCATCGCAGATCAAGACCTCAAAGCCACGGCTTTGCGAGGCGAAGGACGAAGAGTATGTTACTTTGTCATTCTCTTCTTTGGTCATCAGAGTCTTCCTCGCCCATGACCTGTAGGGCATGATCAAGATGACTCTGCGGGGGTCGTTGCCCTCGTCATCTATCCGCTTGGACCACACCCATTGAAGCATTGACAGCCAATTGTCAACCCAATCATCCTTTTTTTTTTCAGGACTTTGATGTTGTCTGAAGTGTCGCCACGATCGGTGATGGTCATCCATCCAGGATGCATTCTGGCAATGTCATCTACCCATCGTCTCGTGATGGCATGGGCCGATGTCAAGATGACGCTCGGCTTCCTGTCCATGTCGGGAAAGCCGTCGAGGACCTTGTGCGCGATCCGTGTCGCGTAATGCCACTTCTGTCGTGCCGGTCTCACAGATCGCCTCCGTGATCTTCAGGATGCTCTTGTTAATGTCTCTGTCCATCGATTCGACCCTGACACCGGCAAGCAAGCCTCGAACGTCGGTGAAGTCCGCAAAGTTTGGGTAACGCTCCCCTATAGGGAAAGTCTTCGATGTGAAGAAGATAGTATGACTCAAGTCATTGTCCGAAGAGACCTCAGCAGCACTAAGAGCCTTCGACCATGCCGTCTCTGAATTTGGATTTGACGAGTAGATGGGATAGATTCCATTCTCGTTTCCATCGAGACTGGCAAGATTGTTTCCCGCAAACTTGACCATGTGTGAAGGCTTCGCGCAAAACCATATGTCGGCAATGACCAGATGCCATTTCAATCACAGACTTCTCTCGACACTGCTTACTCGCTCGCACGTATTCGAGGGACGATGAGTGATCGACACCGAAGCCCGGTTCAAAAGGACTATCCAAGCTCCTTCCAGGCATCAAAGAGGTTGTACCAAGGAATGGGTAAAGCCCCCGATGGTAGCTCCAAGGTATCCGGAGCAGACAAGATCAACCACACGTTCTTCAATACCACTTTGCCCGCAATGCCAAGACCAATACTGGATGGGATCTGACAGGTCTAATAAGATCTGTAGTAAGTATGAACGTGGTAGACACTATGTGAATGCGACAAGAACCCCTAGTGCCTCTGGTGCAAATCGGAAGGACATCATGAGAACCGCTTCCCTTGCCCCCTACGGTAAAGGGCCAACCCTCACCATAACATCTGTAAATCAACTTCAACCCTGCCACCGTCGTACGTCAAGGTAATTATTTACTTGTTCATCAAGGGTAGCATTGAGATCACCACCACACCCGTAAGCGGCGAAGTTTCTATTCTACCTTACAGAAAAGAAGAACCATCCCATCCCATCCCATCCATCCTAGGAATTTCGCTCAATCGTAGCTTTCAAATTCCTAAAACCAAAATACTTTGCCACCTTTGCGACCTCAAATCACAAACCCCAGTCGCCCGCCGAAAGGGGAGAGGGAAAAAAAATCTCGAGTTCTTTCCCCGAAGCGAGACCACACACACACACCCGTCCCGTCCCATTCCATCCAGTCCCTACTTTCCCGAGCCAGTTCAGAAAACGGGGGGGAAGGTGGGACAAAAAGGGAGTGTGAGAGACACAGGGAGAAAGCAATAAGCAATTTTTGGATATCATGCTCTTTTTTGTCCACGCACGAGTTACTCCGAAGAAAACCGCCGCCTTCCATAGAGAAGAAGAAGAACAGAGAGACGCCCTCTGCGGCATTCTTCTCATCCTCGGATAATTTGATGATCAAGACCGTTACACCACCTATGGTGCTGCTAAAAAGAAAGTCGTGAGAAGGAGGTTAACCAGTGAAGGAAGCCCCCCTTTAAGTCATGCATCCATCATTAACCCACACGTCTGCGTTTGTTACCGCGATCGGGGCTGTCAGTGATCCCATCGAAGCTATCCCGCGGAACCTCTTCAGTCCCGGTGGAGCTCGGTGTGCCATTGACGTTGTTGTTGTTGCCCCCTCCGTTTTGGGGACCCGAGCCGTCGAGGGTAAAGTTGAAGTCGTTCCCGTCACCGTTGAAGTTGACGCCAGGGTACGCGTTGTCGCCCTGGAACGCGTCCGGGTTCAGGAACTGGTCAATGTCGAGGTCGCCGTCAAAGTAGCCGTTCACGTTGCCGTTCTCGTCGATGCCGGGTATGCGACCCGAAGGGCTGAGCGGTCCGAGCATGCTGGAGAGGTGGTCCAGCTTCGCGGCTTGCTCCTCCTGCATCCGGTGTAGCGCGGCGAGGTCCTCTTGGTTGAAGTTGATTTGCTGTAGTGAAGGTGGCGGCGCGGCGGAGCCCATGATGGGCGAGAGGGAGAGACCGGGGGCGGCGGGCATGGGCGGCGGTGTATCGGGAGTAGCGGTCACGGAGGGAGCTGGCGGATTGGGTGAGGCGGACATTGAAGGCTTGGAGGACTGTGGAGCGTTGGTTGAGGGTGTAACGGACGATCGACCGGCCATGGCGTTCAGCATCTTGTTCCGTTGGTCGTTACTCATTGTGGCGGGGGTGTTGTTGACGACGTGGGGGAGATCGATGCCAGATGAGTTGTTAGCATTTGTGTCGTGGATAATCTTCATCATGCTCTCATGGGGATTCGACTCGAGCTCTTGGGCTAGATAGTTGGTTGGTGATGTGTGGTCGCCGGGCGATGTGTCAAACAGTTCTGTGACGGTGCCCATCTCGCGGTTGTACGGCTGAGGCGTCGCGGAGCCGCTAGCTGGTGACGGCGATACCGTATTCGCGCGACCGTTGGGAATGGGCGGCAGCAACGCTTGCCGGCGCTTTGGGATATTGATGTTGTTTCCTGCCGAGGTTTGTGCTTGCACGTAGTCGCCCAGGTCCACGACGCTTCCCTGAGGTACCGAGCTAGAGCTGTTGCCGTTCGGAATGATGCTCGCGAGAAGGTCGTTTACGCTCTGGGGGCCCGCTTGGTCCTCGAGTGTCTTTCTAAACACGTTGGCCAAGAAGTTCAGGATGGCGTTGATGGAGTTTTGATGACGGTCGTGCTGGCTCTGGAAGACGACAGCCTGCTGATATAACGCCGTGTTGTCTTGCTGGATCCGCTGGATCGCCGTCATGATCATCCTCTGCTGCTCGCGCACCTTGGCCAACTCTTCCCGAATCAACGTCATCTCCTTCTTCTGTATCGGCATGTCGCCCGAGGGTGGCAGAGCTTTGCTGGCGGGTGCACTGGCGGTACTAAAGCCCTGTGTCACGCCGTCGTCAATGTTGACGGCATCCTCCTCGCTGTCACCCTCGACTTCTGCATTCTTGGCGCCCTTTTTGCCCTTGTTACCGCTCTTTGGTTTGTTAATGAGCCAGAGCAGGTTCGGGTGCCCTCGTCGGAAGAAGGGATTCGAGTACTCGCTTGGGCTCTTGTTCTTCCGTTCGCTTGCACGCATCGAGTTATCCGACAAGCCGACCCGCTTGTGGAAGCCGTACATGTTGAGCTGTCGTACAAAGGAAGCATAGTTGTTGTGCTTGAACAGGTCGGGAATTAGCTTCTTCGCGAATTCATCCTCGTCGAGGACGATGAATGAGTCGCCCTTCTCCGACCACCGAATGAGCTCAGAATTCTTATCGTCGTCGAGGAAACTGTGTATCATTAGTATGGGTACAAGAAAAAACCTACTGCCAACAAAATACGCCTTCTCGTCACTTTGGAGGTACGGGAACCTAGCTTACCTGCTCAGCTTCTGCACAAACGGTGGAATCTGCTTCCGCTTCTGCTGCGCCTCCCTCATGGCTTTGCGAGCCATCTCCTCCAGGATTTCGACGTTGTCGGTCTCGGCCATGTTTCCGTTTGCTTGTTGCTGCTGCAGGAGCGCAGAGTCTTCGCCGACAAAGGACCAAGGGTCGCTGGACGAGTCGAAGTTTTGCCTCGCACCTGTCGGGACGAGTGCTCTGTTCATCTGCCTCCGCGCGACGGCATTGTTGGGGCTTGGTGTGGGCTGCACGAATTGCTGCGGCGTCTGCTGCTGCTGTTGCTGCTGCTGACCGGGGACGAGGCCGTACGAGTTGACGGCCTGGGCCCCTGTTCCGTCCACAAGGCCCGTAGCAGCGTCCGCTGCCCCTCCCCATCGCAAGAACTGATCGCCAGGCGGGCTGGGGAATGACTGTCCGACCTGTGGCATCGGCATGGTGGGTATCGTTCCTGGCGCTGGTCGCTTTCGAGGGTTCGAAGACATGGGAATGTGCATGCGCCTTCGTTGGGGGGTTTGTTGGTTCGGGCGAAGACGAGTTGTGTGGCCCGTTGGGAGAGTTCAATCGGCCAGGTCGCCGGCTGATGCGGCGCCTTTGAGGCGGACGTGATAGGCTGACGCGGGGGTCGCCTGCTTCGGTGAGGGTCGTTTGAATCTTTTCGCGGCGGCCGCGTTTGGTGGGTTGCGGGTTGAAAGCTGTAGGCAGCCTGTGTACCAGTAGTCGCCGAGAGCAAGCCAGGAAAAAACCACCTCCTCGTTTTGCTTTTTCACAGCGGTGTCGAGAAGCGAAGAGCAGCGGCAGCGGCGGCGGATGGATCGGTCGGGATAGTACAGACTAATCGGATAATCGCCTGTCGCATGCGCAAAAAACTCCCACGGTCTGCGAGAAGCCGAAAAGTCGTCGGGCGTGGAAAAGCGCGGTGACTGAAAGAAGGATGGTGAAATGAGGATACGGATCTCGTGGTTCTATATACGTTTGGGGTCGGTCGTTGGGTCGTGATGCCTGGGGGGGGGGACCTCTCTCTCTATGTCCAAAGTGCTGAAAGGGCAGGCTGGAGGAGGGGGAAGCCTGAGTCAATCGCCAAAAGCTGTTGGAGAAGCTTTCGCAAAGGAAGTCTATTGTGTGAGAGAGGAAAGAAGAAAAAAGCCGACAACAACAATTCCAACCATGGGCCGGCAAAGAAGCCCTTGTCGCGATAGGTCGGGCTTGGGTTTCGGCGCAAGGGTGCGATTGTCTCGGTCGCGGAGGATGCTGCGAAAGCTCTGAATGATAGCAGAGGTTACCGCTTCTTTTTTTCTGGTAAGGAAAAAAAAAGGTGAGTGTTCGCTGTGTTAGGTAAGGCACATTCAGATGACGGTACCTTACGGTGAGGCGTCAGGCGTCAGCGGGTTTGGTGCTTGGCTCGACTTGACGGTCCAAGGTTGTGTGCTTTGGTCGTTGCACGTTGATGGCGGCGGTGTTGCTGCTGACTGCAGTTTGCTGGCTGGCTGCTGCAGACGTAGCGCGTCTCTCACCTTTTTTTTTTTTCCTTCGTCCTCTTCCAAGGTGCGTGGTGGGGGGGATGATGTCGCTACCACGTCGTGTACTGTGGGTTAATGTGAATGTTTTAAAAGAGGATAATTGGATGAGAAGGGGTTGTCTCTCCAAGTTAGGTATGTGCGTGTGCTTAGGTAGCAATTGAGACCAGTTCGTGACATGCACCTCACAAAAAAGAAAAAAAAAAAGAGGGTTGAAGGAAGTATAACAAGGCCGTTTCTTGTCCGAGTAAGAAGGGACCGCAGGCTCAAAGAGTCTAGAAGAATTAAGGTCAGATCTGAAGCTGCCTGGTGTCTGGGCCGGGGGAACAATATCGTTGTTGTATTATCATTATCAGCCATGCGGGACTGAGACCACGAGAAACTGAGGATCCAGAGGCTCAGAGTTTACGCAGAAGACCCCGTCACCCGAGTGGAGACCCCTGAAGGAAGAAGAACTGCAAGCACCAGCCCACCACCGGCCACCGGCCACCGGGGCCTGGGACCGTCAAGGAGCCCCATCCAAACACCAATTCATAACGGGAACCGTGGTCGTTCGGGGGTCCTCGACTGGGACGGACGGGTCAGGATGAGGTCCCTTGAACACGGGACAGATCGTCCGGCCCAATCAGCAATCACCCTCATCTCGATCCTCACCGACACTGTCACGATGTCACCTGTGAAAGGAAATGTGTTGGAGCCCATTGGCAGCGGTACCTACGGAGTACATATCATCATACTCAAAACTGAGGTGAACAATAAAACACCCCGCCATCCTGGCACCAGCTGTCAAAGCATCAATTCTCATAGCATCTTCCGAATGCAATATTTGCACTTCCCACCCATATTTACCAAATACAGTATAACAAGGGTTCTGGGCTCGGCCGAACTGCCGCTTTCCTCCTCGGCGTTTCCCGCCGTCTCCCTCGAGGTCATCTCGATGACGCGTGTGGGGACCAGGCGGGGAGCTGGCCCCTTATCCGTACACTCTTCAAGGTAAGGTACCTTACCAACGTCATTTTACTCCGATTCCTAGCTTATTCTTCGATCTCAGCTCTTCAAGCACGGCCCATTCCCCAACTGCCAATTTTTCGTCGTCTGAATAGCATCGTGGGAACAAATAACTACCAACGGCTCTCCAAAACTTTGATTCTCGCATCTTTGCTTCGAATTTCAGGGGTATCATTGGTTTTAACTGGCCCATCATTGTCCCGCCCTACAGAGTCGCATTCAAAACCCTTGTTCCTGTCGAGGGTACCTACAGATACCCTGATATTTTCTCAGAAAAACTACCTTGCACCTCTGCCCGCAAGAGCCGAAGCTCTGGCCATCTTTGCATTCCGTGCCTGATCCCATTCCCGTCCGGAGTTTCCGCTCCGGGCCTCTCGCGATGCCTTCTTCTCCTCTTGCAGTGTCCTGGCCTTTTCCCTGGGATCAATCACCACCAGCTCCTCCTCAGCCTTTTTGCGATAGCTGAGATCCTTACCCAGCTTATCCGCTTTAAAGCTGAGCGCCCGTGACATCCACCCCTCGTCGTCGCTGTCTTCCTTGGCGGCCTGATCCCACGCCTTGCAACTCTGGCAATCGGCAATAAAGTGAAGATCACAAAGTTCCGCTTCCTCGTCGGCCACCTTGTCCTCCTTGCGCTCCCCCTCCTCGGCTGCAGAGGTGGGTCCGTCTCCCTTCTCCGGAGCCTCCTCCGGCGGCGCCTGATCCAACTTCGACTTGAAAGCTTTCAAGAAATCGAGAGCTTGTTGGTCTTCACGGCTAGTCGTGTTACCGCCGGGCCTTCTCCTCCTCCCCCGGATTGACGTCTCGGGAATCATGCTTTCCAGTGCAGATTTCTTGGTCTCCTTGACCGGTTCGGAATGAAAGCTCCGCTTCATCGAGGCCTTAAGAGCGGCAATCTCCTCATTTGTCTTCTCGAGAGCCGTCTTGGTGTCGCGAACCTCAGGCTCTGGCGACGGAGAATCCTGAAGTCGGATAGGAATGGCGCTCTTCTTCTCTGATGGCATTTCCTTTGGCGGTGCCGTCCGCTTCTCCTCAGCGGGTTCGGGCTCTGGCTCGTCTCGTGGCGGAGGTTCCGGCGCTTCCACCTTTGCCTTGCCTTTCGATTTAGACTTGGTCGACTTCTTCACGGCCGGTTCCTCTTCCTCATCCACATCCATTACTATTCTCGTGTCGAACTTGGTCTTCTTCAAAACCGGAACCTCCTCGGCATCGCCCTCGTCGTCCCCGAAGCTCAAGAGCTGTTTCCCGCCTTTCCTCTTCTTTTTCTTTTCAATGACCACAGTCTTGGGTGCCTGGGTCGCAACCCTTGACCTCTTCACCATATCATCGAAGGGGTTGACGAGAATCTCCACGTTTGTAATCTTGACAGGGTACGTCGGCCGGTCCGTGCCTGGAGTGACTTCCCCCTCGCCCATCTTCGCTAAATTGTATATCGTGTCGCCAGCTACCCGCCCGAACAGCGTGTTCTTGTTATTGAGTTCGTCTGCCTGATCGAGTGTGAAGAAGAACTGGCTGCCGTTCGTATCAGGACGACTTTCGTTCGCCATGCCCAGCTGCCCGCGCCGGTTCCATTTCAGCCGTGAGTGAAACTCGTCCTTGAATCCGATGCCCGTCGGACCGGCGTTGAGACCGCGTCGCTCATCCATTGGCCAGGGGTCCAGCTCGCCGCTGAATGCGCCGCCATCGTAGATGGACTCGCCGCCATTGCCGGTCCCCGTTGGGTCACCGCCCTGGAGAATGAAGCCCGGCACGAGCCTGTGGAAGATTGTGTTGTCGTAGTAGCCATCGAGGGCAAGCTGGAGGAAGTTTCGGCAGGTGAGTGGTGTTTGCTTGGCAAAGAGCTCGACAGATATATCGCCTAGGGTGGTGTGGAGGATGACGGACGCAGTCGGCTGCGGTTCAAGGTTGTAGATGGCCGACATCTTGGCCGGCCGTGGCAACGCTCTGTCGAGTTAATTGTTGGAATTCTGGGTAGGATCGGGGTGAAAGAGAGAGGTTAACATGGGAGAGGGAGAGGTGCGTGGGACAAGTGGGTGGATGCAGCTGCAACCTTCGAAAGTTTCTAGGTCGTCGTCGGCGAGGTAGCGTTGGATGGTTTATCGATAAGGTCACGTGCAGCTTCGTCGGGACGTCATCTGATTCGGTACCATTCTGTCGGTTCTACCTGCCGCACCCTTCACATCGTGTAAGTGCCTCCCGCTAGGCTGCATCATATCTCAAAATTATCCCATCTGAATACTCCCTAATAATGTGCAAGGTACTTAGGCCTGGCTGTCTCCTTTCTCACCATAAGAGGTCGGGGGAACATGGCCGAGAGGTATGAGGGGGATGTCATAGTATCAACCCGAAAGTCCTTGAGCCTCACTCAACCTAACCTTTTGTTCAATTCCCCATTGATGACCTCTTTTTCTCCCGCTTTATCTACCTCTATATATGTTTGATCTATGTCCTGTAATATCTATAAGAATAAATTGAAGAAGCTGAGAGAGTCAATGAAGAGTATTTGCATCAAACAATTCGCCTAGTCTTTACACATCGACCTCCTCCACAACGTATATCCTACACGCACGGCACAATGCGTAGACTCCCCGAAGAAATCACCTACCTAGCAAGGTCAGTAGGATTTATCTCGCCCACGTTACAGTAGAACCTAAATCAGAGAAGCCATAGTGGATGGCCTGAGCTGTATATCGGCTGCCGGTCTTTGAGAAATTGTAACGGGTTGAATTTGCTTGCACCTCGTCTCCGATACACCACCACACTCTGAGAAAAAGCCGACTTCTTCCCTCTACACTATTTGGCGGACCCCTGGTATTCGCCTCTGTATATGCGAGTCAGAAGTAGCAGCACTCCCACTTCATTGCGACTTCATACAATAAACAACTTCAAGCAGCATATCACATAGAGAAATGCCTTTCCAGACGGGTTCATCCATACGGCGGGCAGAGTCATTGAATTGCGCAGACACACTTGCTCACATGCCTGAAATCGCCCTCTCAAAGACGAGGGCTGCCGACAACCTCTCTTCGCTTCCCGAGCACATATATCAAAGGACACATTCACAGCAAGGCCTTGGATACTTCCCCGAGAGCAACTGCAGGGAAGAAGGAAGCCATACGCCGCCTAGCAGCAGCATCGCGGCGGCTACAGTATTTACCTCGGGGCCCTCGGAGAGTAGCGACCTTGTCTCGTCGCCGCCGCCGACAGGTCAGAGTCAGAGTGATGATCACCCTAGTGGCGTGGCCGATGAGGATCCACACGACTCGCAGGCGACGGAGAGCGCCCCGGAAGACGATACTTCGGGTCCTGAAGAGGTAGGGGAAGAGTAAGTTTCGCCCTTCTTGCAAGGTATACCAGAAAAAGAAGGATGTTAACCGTCAGTCTACCAACAGAAAGCCTTGTTGTATCTGCCCTCGGTGCCCACGGCACTCAAAGTCTTGGATGTGCCAGGAATGCGGCGACTCACTAGCTCCGGATGAGCGTGATGCCCCGTGCTGCTGCCCTGGTCCTGATGCTGAATCCTGTGGATCAGATTGCGAGGAGACGGAAGTTCAGGGGCATATTAGATCAGAGTCACCTGAATGGGAGTCAGTATTGTAAGAAGCCCGGTCCCAGGAACAATATGTGGCGGCTCTTGGGTGTGCAATGGAATTTTTGTTTCTTTTCTTTTCCCACTTGTTGTGTCTATGATGATTTGTCTTTGGCAAAAGTATTTGCGACAATGAATGGGAATACCAAAGTGGCGTCCGCATAGACCTAGACGCATTATATGTGTTAGCAATGGAAATACACAACCTTCTCCAAACCAAGTGCTCGTGGTGACATACCTTGACGGCATCGGCGCCAATCTTGATCTTTCCCCAGGAAACGGCCTCATCCGGCCTGGCGCCCGCATCACTTCCGTCAAACTCCTGGCCAGTGTTGATGTACACGGCCGACTCGGCGCCGTTGCGCATTAGGCAAGCGTTCGCAATGTGATGCTTAATGACGCCGCCACCTAGGATAATCATACCTGCCCTCTTGGCGCGCACCGAGATAGTGTTGATCTTTCGGATATCCTCGACGATGTCGCACTTGAGCTGGCCAGGCGAGGTCTTGAAGGTGTGGAAGTACAGCATATCGCCCAGGCTCCCGTCCGTGAGCGCAGGGCAGAAGACGGGGATGTCGTTCTTCCACGCCCAGTAGTAGACGGAGCGCTCGTCGTTGATCTCCTTGCCGAGGCGGTGGATCATCTTGGAGGGCGTCCAGTTGATCTCGTCGTCGGTGCCCTTGCTGGCTTCCTGCTCCTCGTACATCTTGTCAAAGATGGGCACGACCCAGTCCTCAAAGGCGCGGTAGTTCGAGTTCGGGACGACAAGGTTGCCGATTCTGTTCTGTCCCTTTTTGCGTAGGCCTTCGCCGTCGGCGCTAAAGGACGACATGTAGGTGTCGCCCAGGCACTTGATAAAGTCCTCCTCGATGCCGCCGGCGGTGGTGACGATGGCGGAGACGTGCTTGTGTTTGACCAACCACCGGAAGACGCCTCGCATGCCGGAGGAGATCATGTTGGAGGTGTAGCCTAGGAAGATGGTGGTCTTGTCGCCGGTTTCTGGGTCTCTCCAGGCCCTCTTGAAGTCGCAACCCGCCTGTCAGCAGGGTGTCGTCTCACACGTGGGAGCAATAGAGGTGGCGGCTCACCATGTCATTGATGATCCGGATGGACTCGGTCAGAGACGAGGCTTGGAAACCCATGAATCTCATGCCATTGTAGAGACTCTCGGCGGTGATTGGACCCTTGATGTCGTCAAAGTCCAACTCCTCGACTTTCTGTGCGCCTTCGGGCATTTCTTCCGAGACGACAAGGACCGCATCGGTTGCTGCCGCCGGCGGGGCGTTGGGGTTCTCTTGAGATGCCATGATATAATTTCTGTAAATGAACGAATGAGGGAGGCACACCGAAATCAGGTTGCAGTTGAGTTGCAAATGTGAGGGATCTCAAAAGTGAGATTGTCTCAAGCCCACCGAACAAAGGTACATACCAGTGAGGGGAGTGGCGATCTATAGTAAATAGTGGGAACACGAACCGCGGAGAATTGTGGATGGCTATCAGACAAGAACCCTGTGACTGTTTCAACCCAAAAAATAAATAAACAGGGTGTCTCTATCCGTACTCTTTTTCGTTCTTAGCAATCAGGGAACGAGGAACTCTGACGGGATATTGGAGCTGGCGTGGAAAAAAAAAGTGACCATCCACACACACAGGTACACACTTCAGAATGGCTCCATCCGGGCGGGCATGGGATGACTCCACGGCCGTGATGTTTAGAAAAGACGGACTCCACTCTGCAAAGAATTTTGACGGAAAGGTGGAGTACCAGGCGGCAGGGTCTGCCACGGCGCGCGCGCACAGGGACCCACCTCGAATTGTGAGTGCCCACCCATGCAGGTCGGGTCGTCTAATGGTAAAGCGACACGGCGACGGACGGACCTGGAGTGTGTGTGGTCGATGACTTTTGGTGCGTGTGAAGTGATGCTGGTTGGGTATCCATTCAATGCGTGCCTGGATAGAGACGTGGAAGAAGACATGATGATTTCGAATTGCACAAAAGACGGGAGGCTCATCGGTGGATGTGGTACAAAGTGCAAGGTACCTTCCTCGAGATGATGTGGATTTGGTGACTACCTCAGTGGACTCTTGAGGTTTGTCTGTGGACACTTCCAGCTGGGCCGTGGACGGGGCGGGAGAGGTTTCCATAAGGTACCAAGGTTCCATGACAAACATTTGAAGGGTACGTACCGCATCTCTTGGAAACTGACCGGGAAATTGAGATTTCGGAGACAAGCAGCAGACAGGAAGACAAGCACAAGGCACCTCAAATTCGGGCAGGCATTGGATGGAAGGCAGGGCCAAAGACAACACCCTCAGGCTCGAACTGCCGTGGGTCCCGCTAGAAACCTGAAAGAGTCTAGCGCGTGTTGGCGGTAAAAGGCTGGCGCTGCCCCCAGCGAATTTGAGATCCAATTCAGCCCAGTGCCAAACCTGGAACTAAGCGCCACTGCACGCGAACCGTATTTTGCAGGCTGCCCCGAACGTGGCCGTGGCCGTGGCCGTCCAGTACCGTTCGTACCTACTGCCCGCTGGGGTCCCGTCTTCAATCCTTCAACATCACACGATTGCTCGCCAAAGTGCCCAAGTGTCGCATCTCCGCGCTTCATCACGACGACACACCAACCTTCGCCTACGAGCATCGCTGCCAACGGGACACCGTCCACACACAATCAACGTGCCGTCATCCACCCGTACATCATTACCCAGTGCAAAGCCATACGCAAACACACACAATAACGACCCGCTGTCGGATGCACCCACTCCCCGCCGTGCCCGCTACGCTACCTCTCTCACCTCCTGACCAGCGCCCGTCCTGACGCTTATCCGAGGTTGGGACCCGACCACTCCAAGGACCAAAAGTCTTCCATCGACCCACGACAACCAAGGTTCTCTGGTTCCACGTCCCAATCCAGACACATATGGTATTGGACCTTTATCATAGGCAACTTTAAGGGCTGTCGCCCGGCCTAGTGCGATGTGAGTAGACGATGCAACAAACCTAAATCTCCGACTTCTTCGAGTCTTCCATCAAAATTCCCACAACCCGCATGCCCGACCTGGACAAGCCATCGCGCTCGACGCAAATCGAGCCAAACCCCTAGACCCTCCCGACCACCAGATGCGACCGCCCTTTGACCACAACAGGCGTCCTGTGGATGCGAGGCGGCCTCTCGAGCGACCCCTTCATGCTAATCACGATCTTTATAGGGCTTCGAGATATTCCTCGAGGTATGACGGGGGAGATCGCGGCGACCGTCGCTCCAGATCGCCTCGCGACCGCTCACCCGATCGTTACGAACGCGCATCCCAGTACAGTGATGGCGACCGCCGCCGATCATCCGCCGAGGCGCGCTCCAACACTTCAGCATTTACCAACAACAGAGATTCGTTTCGCGACAACCTACCCCGTGACCCGCCACGGGGGCCTAAGGCGCTTTTAGATCCTCCCAGTGGACCCAGAGGCGGCGGCTATGCTGGTGACTTCAGAGGACGTGGCAGAGGTGGCCGTGGCCGCGGATGGGTTCGCGATGACAGCAGAGATCGCGGACGGGACCGCGATATCGATTTCAGAGACCGACGCGATGGGCCTTATCGAGACGAGAGAAGTCGTGAACGCGAACGGGACTGGGATCGACGGGATAGAGAGAGCTATCGAGGACGCCCACGCTCGCCTGGTAGAGGGCGCTCACCACCACAGCGAGATTTCCGCGATAGAGATCCTCCATTAGGCGTCGATGCCGAACGATCTAGGCGCGGCTCAAGGGACGGTGGCCCACCTTCCGCTGGCTCGTCCAACTCTGACCCCCCCTTCGGCATGGGTCGAGGTGGTTTTAGAGGAGGCAGAGATCGGGGACGCGGAGGATGGGAGAGAGGAAGGGGAGGAAGAGCTGGTTTCTACGACGACCGCGATCGCTTCGGACCTCGCAGTCGCTCTCAGGAAGGGCGATGGGGCCGCGATAGGGACGACCGCGACCGTGGCGACCGATGGGTTGATCCTGAAATTCGCAGAGACCCTCGAGACGAACCCCGTGATCCCCGAGACCGCGAGTTGCTTAGACCAAAGGTCGACCGAGAACGAGACAGAGGCATGTCTTCCCAAGCACAGTCGCCAAACACCAAGGACGTATCTCCGCCCCCGCTCGCCCCTTCAGCACCCGCTTTCGGCACTGTCCCTAGTCGAAACGGCCCGGCAGACGGATCGCCCATCATTGGCGGCACCGGCAAACTGCCACCCACAGCCCCCAGAGCCTTCAACTCCGAACGACCTGTTTCTGCCGGACACGGCGGCGGAGGTAGCGGCGGGGATTTCCCGGCACCCCCTACCGGTCCAGCAAAGATGAACCTTGTAGAGGGCAGCCCGCCTATCCCCTCTGGCCCTCGTGCTCAACAACAGAAACAGCAACGGCCCTCGAGTAAGCAATGGATAAATCCAGCACTGGGGAAGAAGGGCCCCCCCGAGTCGCCCAAGATTATGAGGTCGCAGAGCTTTGCGCAACAGCAACGCCCGGTACCTTTCCGTCATGAAAGCGTACCAGCAGAACAAGGCGACAACGACCGGCGTCCACGCAGTAGTGATGCGAAGGCCGACTCTCACAATTCCGCCAATGAAGGTTCGGTCAAGTCACTTAACCTTCCGGAACCTGGCGAAATTGTCATCAAATCCGAAAGAGACAGCTATTCTGCCAGAGGCTCCATGGATCGAGATATAGAATATCCGGATGATTCAAGGGACATTGTCAT